GTCATCTAGACGAGGTCGCTTGTTGCGACTGTCGTGCCGGGGCTCAGCGCCGCATGGTGCACCGCCGCCGCCATCCTCGTCGTCCTCGCCACCAGAAGATGACGCGCCGCCGGAACGCTCGCTGAGGTGCTCGCTGCCAACGGGAGTCGGTGGATCTCGAGCAGTCATGTCAGCATTGCGGACCCAATCCCGTATCTCCTTGATGGCACTGATGGCCCATGCCATGAAGACCTCAGGAGTCAGAGTCACGCATGATGAACAAACCGCTGGAATGAGTGTATATAACTTATATAACCTCACAACGGAATGCTAAAAGAAAGACAAAGAGTCAACAACCTGGCGCTTGAAGTCATCATCCGAGATCTCGAACCGGTCTTCCCCTTCAGTTGGCTCGCGCCACACCCAGCGGCTACCGCTTGTACCCTCGCCCTCGCCGCCACCAGTGGTTGAGCCGGCCGACCGCTCGTTCGGTGGCTGTGGTCCACGCATGCTCAGCGGAGGAGGAAGGCGACGCCGACGAGGCCGATTCACTGGCTCAGGAGGCGGAGGTCCTCGACGTGGTGACTCCCGTTCCGCTGGAGGCGGAGGCACAGCTGAAGTGTCGAGCTCCCAGAGCCTGTCAAACTCCGCCCGGTCCCGCGCCAGCTCGGAATCGGTGGAGGGTGCCCCTGCAGCGCTCAACCACAACGCTCCCGCTGCCAAAATATCTGCAACCCGCCAACCGAGCAACCAACGAACCGAGTAACCGAATCATAACATAACTCAACTCAATTGTGCATCCTCATTGCCTCATCATCATCCTTACTCAATGATCATATTGTGTGCCAAGCTTCTGGGAAAATCCGGCTCACCCGGCTCACCCGGCTCAGCAGGCACACCCAGCTCATCAGGCACACCTGGTTCGTGTGTTCGGTAGTGCTGCTTAGTATGTATATTATGAATTATGAATGTTTCTAATTTCTATTTATAGTATATTATGATTAAAAAAAATATGTAAATTCTGTATATGGTGAATATGGTGTAGGTAGTCACGAAAGAATGCAGGCCTTCACCTTCACCCAAGACCGTAGTCGGTGGTCGGCCAGGGTCGTCCATTCAGCCGCTCAAGTCGAGGCTCAAGTGACTCGACAATAGGAGCTTGCGGCTGCGGCTCACAGCAGCACTTGCGACTCGCACGAATGACTCAACTTGACTCAACCATGCGACAGTGCACATCCCGATTTCTACCTTCCCCATCCCATCCCAGTCTGGCCTCTTTGAAGAGAACCCTCCAGGCTTGTCCCAGAAGATTGTGCACGCCCATCAGAAGCATTGCCCAGCGGCTGGCAGAGCCGCATGTCAGCCACCTTGACAGCACCGGCACCGGCGGCCTTCGGCCGATGACGGCCACCAAGGAAAGCCATAGCTTCGTACCTCGGATTGATAACAAAGCCCTACCCTACCGCATGCCCACACTCAAGAACCAGCGAGCGCAAGTGCAGTCAAATTTCACCAGTCAGTCTCAATCAGCCAAGGCACAAGACTCCTTCCTGCTCTTGCAACACCCCAGTCGGCAATGATGCACTAGTCGTTCCTTCCGCCAGTCCTGAGCTAGTCTGAAACGTGAGAACAGTGAACGACGTGAGGTGTGAAGCCTGGAACAGAATAGAATAGTGAATAGGGATCGGACTCCATTGGCCATCGCCAGAAGAATTTCCACATCATCTCCTCGGTCGTTGTCGCCGTCATGGCCGCCTGGTTTTGGGCCTCGGATAATCCGAGTCGGATTAATTGTAGTGCAGTTGTGGCCAGTGGCAAGCATGGGAACAATCGGAACAATCATCGAGGCTCTGACTTTCTCGCAAAGCCTCCTTGATGAATGCTGCCGCGTACTCTTTGTTCTTCGGACAGGGCGGTGTGTATTTCACCTTCAGCTTGGCATCCACAATCCGGCGGCATTGCACCAATAGCTCGTAGAAGAGACTACCTTATGTCAAATTCAAATGGGTCAAATCAGACAAATGTCAGACAGTCATCACAAGTCACGACGTGGGCTTGACGGGAAGTCGCACTCACTCACACTGACAAATGAATCTGAGATGCCTTGGGTGCAAATGGATACGAAGGAGAACCTTGGAGTAGCCGAAGAGCAGTTTGCTCTGCACGAGCCACTGACAAATCCCAGCTAATTCAGCCACGCCACAGGTCCGGAAGCACCCCGGCGGTCTTCCAGAGGATTTCTGTTGCCAAGTTGGCTTGATGCCTCATGTCAAATAAGGACAACCAGTGAGTGACTGTCTGAACTGCACTACTGCACTGCACTTCACTTCGCCAGATAAGGACTCCACATCAAGCACTGCTGCTTCACCACCTGCCATACTTGTTAAGTTCGACAACAACAGCATGGCATGGAGCTGGAAAGTTGCAAAAGGTAAAACAAACTCCTGAAGTCGAACAAGCCAGAGGGGCCAAAGTGTTCTCGTCAGCCATGTCGGCTATCCGTCGTATCATCGAGAGATTAGCCGAAGCCGAGTCGCACACGAACATAAGGACAAAGAGATCGCAATGTTTCGCAATGCCTTGGCTGTCACGGCAATGTTGAAAAGCCAGCCGCTGTGGCAATGTGCTGTATACTGTACTCAAAGGCAGGTCACTGAGAGGAGGCACAGGTTGTGTGCTCTGCAAGGCACGCCACAGGGACGCCGATGTCTTTCGTCGCAACACGGCTGGAGGATTCACAACCTGCAATGTACTGTGCACACGCAAACACGTAGATTTCGTCTTATTGCAGAAGCAAGTTGAAACAAGCAAGACTACTTGTTAGCATGTGACACCAACCAAGCCCATGACGAATTTGCTGAGCACTTCGGTGCTGTTCGGCTTCGCCATGAGCAGCGTTGATCGAGACACCTCAGTGAGCATTCTGGTCATTCTGGGTCAATCAATTTTGGGCTGGACTTTGCCGAACACAAACTGTGTGACTGCATGGCAGGAGTAGGAACCCGGCCATCACCGACATTGTAGTCGTTGTCTCATTCATCATATTTTTTAATCTCAGCATTTGCCCCGTTTCATCGAATTCGATGTGGAGAGCCAAGCATCTTGAATTCTCCTGGGAGTCTGCGACAGCCAATCCGCACGCCGCAAGCTATCTTGGAACATCAACAGGGAAAATGTCCTGCGTCGCTTTGTCGAAGCCCGCCCTCTGTTTCTCCAAATACAGCTGACATAAAGCATGACGGGCCTTTCAACACAATCGTGTGACTGCCGCTACCCGCTACCTGTTGCAACTGAATGCCATGCCAGACGAGCCTTTGCGATTGTGCCAGTCGCCGAGCCCATCCAGAAAGCAATGGAGTTGAGACTAAACCTCACAACCGCACTGCTCTGAGATCAAGCATGGCGTGATCTACAGCCCGGGCCGACACTGATGCTGACAAAGCAACATCGTTGGGGAAGTACTCTGATGCTTGCGCAGCCGCAAACGATTGCCAATCTTCCCTTTGCCTTGGCCTTGGACCATGATGCTGGCAGTCGATCTTCCTAAAGAAACTCGCAGTATCGCCGACGTTGCCCATGTCTTGTAACGTCCTGTCAGAATCTGAATATTTAACTATCTGCCAAAAAGAACTTGCACATCTGCCGACATGTGTTTCATGCCAAGCAATTCGGGGCTTGACGGCCTCGTCCTTTGATCTTTCCGTCATGACGTCGTTTGCGATTGACCATATCATCATCGATGACGTCCGCTTGGCGGACCACGTGATCTCTATTGAATTTCTTCAAGTGATCCCTGTCGCCAGTCCAATTACAATTCACTCGCAGAGTCTTGCCGAAACGTGACCCCCAAGCCCAAGCGCCTGAACTTGTCGATGAAGCGGGCGCTCTTTGATATGATCCTCTTCTGAGCTTTTCCTGGCCGAAATGTGATAACAACTTATCATATTGCTGTAAGTGCGTATGCCGTATGCCATTGACTTGTCACGTGACCTGACCTAGCCTAAATTCTAAGATGTCCCCGGCCTGCCCTTGCTAAAGCACAAGCACTGTGCCGCGAGTGTGTCTTCGCAGAGTTTTGCCGGGCAACAGCAGCTAGCTGCTCATGCAATCTGGCTGCAACTCCAGTTGCAGCAGCGGCATTTCCATCAGATGATATCGCAGGAATCGCAGGCACTGAATTCCGCATCGCAAAGCTACTCAGCGCAATCCATATCTAATTGCTGTCTTGCTCGATTCTCAGTCCGGCTATGATTCTTCAAGGTCGAGTAAAGCCCCGGACCAAGTGATGTTGGTCTAAGCCTCTAAGCTGAACATGCCAAATGATGCATCGACTGGGCTGGGCTCCGAAGTAGCTGCTGGACCCGGGCGAAGATTAACAGACTGCAAACAAGCCGCCCCTTACGTCCAACACAGCGCCCCAAATAGGCGACCCATACATACCAACAAGGCGCCCCGTACGTACCACTAAGCCGACCCATATGCGTACCAACAAGCCGCTCCATACGTACCAACAAGCCGCCCCAGACGTACCAACAAGCCGCCCCATACGTACCAAGAAGCCGCCCCATACGTACCAACAAGCCGCCCCGTACGTACCAACAAGCCGCCCCATACGTACCAACAAGCCGCCCCAGTACACCGCACCTCCACGTGCAGCATATATAGAAACCATAGCTTGCATTACTCTTGAAACTCGCCAATATTGCATTGTACGAGTTAGCGACAAGCACAGGCTCTGACCTCGGAGGTAGGCGAGATGTTGACACACCCGAGTCTCGGACTCGTCTACGCAAGTTTTGCCAGCTATCGGAAGATGCTTACAGACAGCTCCTCACCCCGTCTTCCGATGCTTGAAAAAGACTGCTCCCTGAGTGTGACTGAGCTTGTGCACTCCATGCGTATACCGCTCAGTCAGAAACGTTCAGTTGTTTTCCTCTTCTGTGATGCCAGTATCCGACCTCAGTGTTTGGCTGCATCCGAGCATCCTTTGCTTTCTTGTCGTAGCCCAGTAAGCCTTAGCCATGTGGAACTATCTCAAGCCAGCCGACTCCATCATCGATCTCACTTCGGACGCCGAAAAGGACGAGCCAAAGCACGGCGAGCCAGCCGACTCCATCGTCAATCTCACTTTGGACGCCGAAGAGGACGAGCCGAAGCACAGCGACCATCTCAAGCAGGCTGCGCCCATCAAGCTCGAGAAGACAGTTTCCACGAAGCGGCGCCTCACGAGCAAAAGGCCAGTTCCAGAGATGGACACCATGCCGAGTGACGACCTGGTCGATGCTCACAAGCGCGGCAAAGTTATTTACAGGGAGAAGCGGGCCCCCCACCAGAGTCACGGGAATTGCCGTGGGCTACACGGACCTTGCCTCATGGGGCGCAACGGAGCGGCTGCACCAGCAGGACCTTCCGGGCTCTGCGACCTCTGCAACCTGGAGGACATCCAGCTGTTGCACGAACATGGTGAAGGTCGCTTAACGCATCTCCTGCTTCAGCTTGCAGAGCCGGAGGCTTCTGTGGCACTCAAGCGCATCCACGACAAGGACGCGGCCATCGCAAAGGACCTGAAGCATAGAATGGAGAGAGCCCGCCATAGGAAGTCCGCACACAAAGTGCGACGAGGGCCTCGAGGCCCTTACAAGAAGAAAGGCGCCAAATGAAAGGTGTCAGCATCTCAGACGACATGACGACACTTGCTTTAGGAGAGATGTTGTTCAGTCCTGGAGTCACGAACGTGCAAACTCTGATGATGCTGTCTTGTGTGCGGCTGCTTCAGTTTCCATAAGCCTGGCACTTTCGGTAAAAAAACACAACTAGTGCTTCGTTCAGTGCAGTCACCACCTGCTCAGAGTTGTCCTGCCTGGAGCAAATATAATCGTTGATGACAATGACAGCAGCCAAGTGCCAACTCCCTGCAGCGAGCATTGTGCTCTGCTCCGAAGCTGGCAGACTACGTAGGTCAGGAACGGAGCCCGATTTTGACCGGACAGCCTCAGGTCGAGGCCTCGCCGGCGAGCAAAAGCTGCAGCACTGAAGTCCCAGGCGTGATGTCAACTGCACCCACTTCGAGACTCGCTGCTTGTACTGTGTACATGTGTTCTAGCACACAACTTGCCTCTGCCGGAGCCTTCCTGCTAAGCTTTCTCGAGTATTCCCCGCCTCTTCTCAGCATCATGGCCGACGGATTGCTCGGTGCCTCGACCTCTGCTCCGGCTTCTAAGACCGGCGGGGACACTCGTCGTGTCAAGTTATATCCATGGGACTCGACCGCAAGCCAACTACTGGAACCGTACGGCGAGTCGGCGATCAGCTCATTGTCCTTGGCCGACCTGTGGAAGGCAGTCAACTCCGGGAATAAGTCCGCCATGTACCATAGCCATCTGTGCGCTCCGGTCACCGATCAATGGCACATCGGTGCAGGCATATCGCTCACGGCAGCGGCCTTGGAAGCTGCCGCCGCAAATTTCAAAACGGAGTACATGCAGCAGCTCATCAATCCCCAGTACTACGAGAAGATCAGCACGGAGCTCGTCGAGCTGGAGCCCGTTTTCAAAGTCCTCAATCTGGGGAAAGGCAGTCAAGTCGAGAAGGATACTGGCAGCTTCAGGGCGGCCAAACGATCCCGGCGCGATGGTCCCAAACCAGCCCCAGTCACAGAGGCGGAGGTCCTCGACGCTGCCCGCAAGATGTACAAGTGGCTGGCCAAGCCAAGCTCTGCCTTCCGGAGTTTTCTGTTCATCACCTCGGCCGGCAACACATTTTATAGCGGGCATGTCGCGGAGGTGGTGGCGCGGGCGGCAATCAGCCACAAACCGATGCGCGAGGAGGACTTCGTCACGGCCATGCAGGCTCGCTTACAAAAGCCGGCAGCAGAGCCCGAGTCCAGTGCCAAGCCCAGCTCCGACGCCACCGGCTTGTTCTGAGTGAGGTTAGTGAGAGCCTGCGTAGTCCACATCGCATTGAAGTGACTATTGCATTGTACGAGTTAGCGACAAGCACAGGCTCTGACCTCGGAGGTAGGCGAGATGTTGACACACCCGAGTCTCGGACTCGTCTACGTAAGTTTTGCCAGCTATCGGAAGATGCTTACAGACAGCTCCTCACCCCGTCTTCCGGTGCTTGAAAAAAACTGCTCCCTGAGTGTGCTATCACATGTATCTAGCAGATGCATGTGTGTCTGGCCAGACGCTTCAATCATTGAGCAGCTGCTTGTGTACTTGCCGGGATGTGCAGCACGCTATGCATCTGCTATTGTGCGCCCGAGCCAGTCCTGTTGAACCATCTTGATAAACTCGCTCGATTCCCGCCTGCCTCGTACTCATCACAATGGCAGACGGCTTGTTTGGCGCCTCGCTGCCTGCCTCGGCGACTTTGGCGGAACAGTCGCCTTTGGGCGGCCTGGTCAACCTAGGCAACAGCTGCTTCGTGAATGCGTCCATCCAGGGCATCCTCGCCATTCCGGCGGTGGTGCGTGCCCTGGGCGCTCGCCAACAAAGTCCTCTGGAGGAGGAGCTGCACAAACTGCTGCAGAGAATGCAAACAGGTCACGAGCAAACACCGCGGGCCATAACAGACCTGTACTACACGGGTCGGCAGGAGGACGCGGCGGAGTTCCTGATGGACTTCGTCGACAAGTGTCCGACCTTAACTGTTCTCTCTCGAGGCCTGGAGCGTTCCAGGTTCTTTTGCAGGCACTGCTCCGTCTCTCGACACTCGTCGACGGCACCTTTCTGCAGTATGCAGCTGCATCTTGAGGAAGCCAGATCCGTGTCGGAAGCTCTCGCGAAGTATCGTCAACAGACAAGTCCACTTGATTTGGAAGAATGGCAATGTCATTGCAGCCCACTGCGTGAGAGTCCCTTGGAGACTCCCGACGTGGTGCAGTGGCCGCAGGTTCTGAGCATTAACTTGAAGAGATGGCAGACCGATGGAACAGTGAACAGAACTCGGATCGTCTGTGACAAGACGCTGGACCTCGACGACACTCATTACAGGCTGATGTCCGTCATCA